TTATTATTATATAATTTAGCAAAAAACAAATATTATTTAATAAAGTTGTTAAAATAAAAGGTATATAGAAGACATAATATCCTTATTTGCAAAAGATATGACTTTATATATAGGAAATATGAATGATACCACTGGTTACTGGTGACGAATTCTGCTCCCTCACATGTTGAACATTAGGGAAGCATATAAAGCAGGGTTCATTTAAAAAGAGGTAGGTAACAAGGTACAATTCCTGGGTCAGGTTACTTTAGCAACAGGTTGGAGCAGGGGTAGTTTATCTTTTTTTTTTTTTTAGTTGTAGATGGGCACAATACCTTTATTTTATTTATGTGGTGCTGAGGATCAAACCCAGAGCCTCACTGCATGGGAGACAAGTGCTCTAACACTGAGCCACAACCCCAGCCCAAGGGGCAGGTTATCTTGATAGGGTGGAGGAAAGGCTCAAGGAAGGAATTAACATTTCAATTCCTCCATTCTCTGGATGACCCTTGCCTATCTGCCTGTCTAATTCTGGCTTCCTAAGGAAATAAAAAATGCATAGGACTGGGAATATAGCTCAGAGGTAGAGCAATTCCCTACCATATACAAGGCCCTGAGATCTGCAGCACCAAAAATAAAAATTCATAAAATCAGGAAGTTCACATAAAAATCAATCCAATTTCTACACTAATAGTGAACATAAGAACAAATAAACAAGAACACAATAGCATTTACAATCACTCTAAAAAACATGCAGTACTTAAGTATGCTTTTTTTTTTTTGGTACTGGGGATTGAACTCAGGGGTACTTTACTACAGAGCTATATCCTCAGCCCTTTCTATGTTTTATCTTGAGATTTAAGTTATTGAGACTGTTTTTGAACTTGGGATCCTCCTGCCATAGGCTCCCGTCACAGACATTATAGACGTGCCCCAACATACCAGGCTTAGGTATACATTTAACAAAACAAAAACTGAATGACATTGATAAAATGAATCAAAGACTTAAATAAAGAGACACAAGATGTTCAGTAGTCAAGATGTTGCGTCTTCCCAAATTGATCTATAGGTTTAATGCAATTTCTATTAAAATCCCAGTACAGTATTTTTTTCAGGGGGAGGTACTGGGTATTGAACTTAGAGGCATTGGATTACTGAGCCACATCGCCAGCCCATTTGTATTTTATTTAGAGACAGGGTCTCACTGAGTTGCTTAGTACCTTGCTTTTGCTGAGGCTGGCTTTGAACTCCTGATCCTCCTGCCTCAGCCTCCCAATCCACTTAGATTACAGACATGTGCCACCATTCCTGGCCTTTTTTATTCACTTATTTATTCTGTGGACATAGACAAACTTATTCAAAAACTTGAAGGACTGGGGTTGGAGATGTGGCTTGGTGGCAGAGTACTTGTCTAGCATAAGTAAGGCTTGTGTAAGGCTTGGATTTGATCTCCAGCACTGTAAAACAGAACAAAAACTTGATAGAAAGGCTTAGGATATAGTAGGGCTAAAACAAGCTTTAAAAATGTAATCAAAGGGCTCATTCACTCTACCCAATCAAGGCCTATTTTACAGCTACAGTAATCAAGAACACGTGATGATGCAGGTAACAGATCAACAGCACAAAAACTCAGCAATAAACATACACAAATGTGCCCAATTGACTCCCCCGCCTCCCCCAGTACTAGGGATTGAGCCAAGGGGCATTCTACCACTGAACTACATCCTTCACTCTCATTTTTTTTTTTTTTTTTTTTTTACCTCAAACAAGGTCTGGCTAAGTTGCTGAGGCTGGCCTCAAACTTGCAATCCTCCTGCCTTAACCTCCCTAGTTGCTGATATTACAGGTGTGCACCACATTCCTGGTCCCAATTGACTTTTTTTTTTTTTTTAATAGAAAGAAAGATTTATTTTAAGGATAGAACATAAATAGATTTCTCTTAAGGGGCCCCAGAGCTGTATGTCTGAGGAAGTGGGGCTATCCTGCCCTTTTTACACATTTTAGATTTCCTTTGTTCTCACACTTTCTCCTCCCTCCAACCTGCCTACTTGACTAGTGACCAAAAGGTGGGCCAAAAGGTGGAGTGATCTAAGGGCAGGAATATGTAGCCGCCAAGAGGGTACCCGCAGGAAAAGAGCAACCCAGGGGGCATTCTTTAGCAATCCCTTGCAGGGAGGAACGATTTCTTGGAGGCAGGTAACTTCATAATAGGCTGCAGGAGGGAATTAACATTAGCATTTATTACCTCTTGAATCAGCAACGCCCTCTTTTCTGACCCAATCATTCATTATGTACACTGACTGTCCTCCCACCCACAGAAGGGAACCCTTACTGCTGGTAAGGGAAAATGGATGATGACTACCCTGGTTGCTTTGAGCTGAGAAGGGGTGATGTGGAGCAAGCAGTTTGGGTTACCCTTTTAGGAATGTTTTGGATCAGTAGACAGGTTCATAGCAAGTCGTATTTGGAAGTAACAGGTTGTAAAGTCATCTGAGAGGTGGGTGCTTCTCAATGATGATCTCGGTGGGACTGGAGATGAGAATGAGGGCCAAATCCCATTTCCCTGATGGGAAGATTGAACACCTGAGAAACGCTGAGGCAAGTGTAGAAAGCGAGTTTTATTTATTTAAAGGATAGAACAGAGATGGACTTCTCCAAAACGAAGGGGCCCCAGAGCTGTGTCCCTCAGTTGACTTTTTTGGGGGGTTACCAGGGATTGAACTCAGGGGCACTCAAACACTGAGCCATATCCCTAGCCCTATTTTGTTTTTTATTTGGAGATAAGGTCTCACTTAGTTGCTTAGTGCCTCGTTTTTTTGCTGTGGCTGGCTTTGAACTCACTGCCCGCTTTGCCGGAAGCCCAAATGACTTTTTTTTTTTTTAATTAAACTTTGTTTAGGTGCTGATAGAGCTTTACTTTTGCTTATTAAATGTGGTGCTGAGACTCAAACCCAGTGCCTCACACATGCTAGGCAAGCACTCTACCACTGAGCCACCACCCCAACTGACTTTTTGAAGTGGAAAAACATGTCAATGGAAGAGGATAGTCTTTTTTTTTTTTTTTTTTGTGGTACTAGGGGTTGAACTCAGGAATTACACATGGTAGGCAAGTGCTCTATAACTGAGCTACATACATTCCCAGCCCTTCACTAAACTTTGGCACAGGGTCTTGCAAGTTGTCTACATTAGCTTCAAACTTGTGATCCTCCTGCCTCAACCCCACCCCGCCAGCTGCTGTGATTACAGGTATACACCACCATGCCTAGATGGCTTTTTCAACAAATGGTCCTGAGTAGTTGGAAATCTAGAGGTAACAAAAACTTCTCAATTTGGGAGCTGAGTTAGGAGGTTTGCGAGTTCAAAGTCAGCCTCTGCAAAAGTGAGGCGCTAAGCAACTTGGTGAGACTCTGTCTCTAAATAACATACAAAATAGGGCTGGGGATGTGGCTCAGTGGTTGAGTGACCCTCGAGTTCCATCCCTGATACCAAATCGACAACAACAAAACAATTTAAGACTCACAAAAATTGTGCAAATTAAGTTTCTCCATTTGGAGAAAACTTCAGTACATCCTCAAAACGGATCATGGAATTAAAAGTAAAATATAAACTATTAACACTCTTAGGAAAATAACTGAAAAAGTTTCCAAGACCTATATGGGTATGTGAGTAAATGTTGTGGTCAAGCCATATCATGGGATATAGAGCTACACAGCTCTGGGGCTGGGGTTGTGGTCAGTGGAAGAGTGTTTGCCTAGCACATGTTGAGACACTGGGTTCAAACTTCAACACCACATAAAAATAAATAAAGGTATTGTGTTCATCTAACAACAACAAAAAAAGAAAAAGAAAAAAAAAAAAAAGAGCTGCACAGCTCTAAGCAACACAAAGAAATGAGTCATCAGCATATGCAATGATATGAATGAAATCTTGAGAATTCATATTTCTCTAAATCTAAGTCAAAATTGTGTGATCCCCTTTAGGGGATGGCTTTGTGATCCTCCTGCCTCAGCCTCTCCAATCCACTGGGATTACAGGTGTGTGCCATCTCACCTGGCTAGGGGTAGCATTCTTAGGATGACAAAAGAGTAGTAATAAAGGCTCATGGTTGCAGATGGTTGAGGACAAGAGTTGTCCTATGGCCAATGTGATGATGAGAACAGCTAGCCTGACTTCTGCTTATGTCAGTATTACAGTAGGCCCTTGTCATCCAGTTCTATTAGAGGGAAACATCTGAGTGTTTCTTAATAACTATATGGTGCCCCAATTACCTCAAAATAAAAACCAGTGGCCCCAAGTGGTGGACAGGACAAATACTTATTTTCTTTGATGGAATGGGTTGAGGTGGGGAGAAGTGGTGAGTGGGTTCACCCAATGGCTAGAGGAGACCCACACCACCCACACCCTCTTCAGGTTGGCTCTGCCAATGGGAGTTTCTATTGTTAGTAGAAAGGTACACACCCTAGTGCTTCTCAGCATAAAGGAGGATGCCTCAGGACCCCATCTGGGCAGATGGTTTCCAAAACGGTAGCATAAGGCTTCAGTCAGGACCTCCCACGTATCTACCCAGCCCTCACATCACCTGTCACCACAAGCCATCACAAGTGGACCTTCCACTTATCTAAGTGTGTAACAAGGGGTGACAGGGAGCCTCCCAGGTAGTCAGGCTGGGTCAAAAGCCCAGCTATGCACTAAAAACTCAATTGACTTCCTCTGGGAAGCTTCTTATCCCTGGAAATTCTTAATTCTAGGACTCTACCTGTTCACAGGGGTTGGTCACAGGCCCCCAGGCAGTAATAAGCAGGCACATGTGGATGCACACACACTACAGTAAGGGTCCCCAAAAAGAAGCTGGGACAGGCAGCAGGCAAAGACACCTGAGATCTGAGCCCTAGGTGTTCTGTCTTTCAAGTCAACTCTCCTTTGCTGGGCTCTATGCCAAGCCCCGAAGAGCCATTTCTTGCCTTCCAAAGCAGGCAGGTAGCGGAGGAGAGGAGAGGGACAAAGCCTGGAAAACCACCTGGTTCTGAACACCAAATTTAAAATTTATTAGCCATGAGATTCCTGGGAGCTACAGGCCACTCCCCAAAAGTCATACACTGAGACAGTTCATCCTCAACGGTGCCAGTTCTTGCCTACCCAGCATTCACTGCTGGGCCTCTGGGCAGTCAGCCTGTGTGCATGTAGTGTCCAGACTGATGGGGACAGGTCACTTAGCCAGTTCCTCTGCTACTGCTTTGCGCATCTTGTCCTTGAGGTAGGCACCTTTCTGCCATTCAGACTTGAGTTCCACCCATTCATAGTATGGGACCTGGAGGGAAGCAGAAGGAACAGGTCATAAGGGCCGGAGGACCATTCATGTCTCTTGGTTCTACCTGCTGCCTTCATACTGACCCCTTACCCTTGGGTGAGTATTGGTGAATGACATCTCTGCATACATACTCCTCAGCCCCCAAGGCCTTAGGGAAGAGGCCAAGGAGCTACAGGTTGTGAATGAAGAGAGCCCTATGAGTTTCTGAATTTTAAAGGGTTATTTGAAAAACCAAATGACCTGCCCAAAGAAGAAAACATGATAGAACCCGTAGGCAGTCCTTAAAAGCATGCATTTACTCTCTGGCTCTTTATCAGCATCTTCTAGTTTCAGTCAAGATTTTCCAGTACTCTAGCCAGGCCTGGGCCTGTGTTTTCCTGTTCTGACTGCAGTGGAACTCTATGTAGTCACATAATAACATCATTGGACAGGTCTGCGGGTCTTACCTTTTCTGAGAACCAACCCTGACAAGAGAGGCAGACAGCAGCTCCAGTACCCACTCTGATTCTCAATAGTTGTGTAGCCTTCTGAGCTTCACTTCCTCATCTGTAAATGAGATGCCCAGCCCTACCCACCCCCAAAGCTAAAATGGGAGGCTTGATGGCATTCCAGATATACCCCAGGGGCCAAGCTCTAGCTTCTAAGACTTGGCAGGGATAGGGGAGAGAGGTTGGTGGCCTAGGCATCTGTCTATATCCTTCCAGCTGTAGGCTGGCTCTTCTCCTTGTACAGAAGGGACCACACTCCCAATCAGTACTCACATCCACCAACAGGAAGCCTGCAGCCAGCATGTGGCGGCGAGCCAGGACAAAGCGGCCCAGCAAATCCTTGCTTCGGCTATTGAAGTTGGGAAATTCCCAGCGCAGGAAAGCAACCCTGGCAGGAAGAAGGATGACTGATAAGGGCTGCCCTCAACTCCTTGGAGGAAAGAGAGAGACCGGTCCGTGTATATAGCCCAAGAGCTGTGGATGTATTTACTGGAGATTCCTGGCCACCTACCTTTTAGCCCCCAGTGGCAGTGGCTGGCTCCCAACTGGCTGGGCAAGGTGAGGTGCAACAAAGTCCCTCAGGGGCAGAAACTGGCCATCAGCATCCAATAGTACCTCAGCATCTGGTAAGAAGTGTGGATGAGAGTCTGCTGGGACTGTCACCTCCTCAGAGACCACCCCCTCAGAAACCATCCCTACAATGTGGAAACAGGGGAGTAGGGGGCACTGCAATTCTGTGGGATGCTCCTTGCAGCAGAGAAGGGTTAGAACAATTTTAACTGCTAAGAGTTGAGAAGAGTCAGGCTCTTTGCCAGCTGAGAGAGCCCTTACCCAGCACCCAGCCGTATCGAGTGGCCACCTCAAGGCAGCCCCGCTCAGAGCTTCCCAGCAGCACCTTCAGTGTTTCCTGTAGTTCCTTTTGTAAGGGGGTCATCTTCTTGTCAGGGGCAGAAGGCTTGGAGGCCAAGGCTGAAGCTGGCAGGAGGGGGCCCTTGTAATCGGGGTGCTCCAGCAGGGCGGTGGCATTGATGTGGAGCAGCTTCTGGAGGGTGCTCTTGTCCTTTAGACACTTGCCCTCTGGGGGATGAGAAGCAGGTAGGTTAGGGCCAGGAGGAACAGATATGGAGGTTGAGAGAGAACCTAAATGGGAGGATAGTGGCTCCCTACCCAGCCTTGGACCTAGTGCTCTGGGTTGGGGCCAGCAGAGTTAAGGTCTTTGGGTCACCTGCAGGGAATGATGGAGAAGCCCTGGAGGTGTGCTCTGGCTTCCTCCTATCATTACTGCAATTTCTTACCTAGCTCTAGGTAGGCAAATTAGGCAGCCTCCCAGCTGCAGCAGTGCAGTAGGTTATGGGTGGGGAAATATCTCACCTAGAAATCTTGTGTGAAATCCAGGATTGAGAACAGCTTGTAGCTCCACCTCCTGCACCTGCTGCAGCACACAGAGTGCCCACACTAGGTTCACCTGTAGGGTTGGCTCCAGGCTTGCAAGTGCAGATTCTAGCCTCTCATGTACCTGGATGAGGACAGGGTGTGGCAGGGAAAGTTGGCCTTGCCTAGGGACTGCTACATGCAAGTGCAGACAGCAGCCAATGACCTTGTCTTGACCTATAACACTGTAGCCAGGGAAGGCCACTGGGAGCAAGAGCTGGACCCTGGCCAGAGGTACCAGAGCTTATCAGACAGTCCCCAGTAGTGTCCCAGGAAGCCTGGGGTCAAACTTGGTCTGGTGGTTTCTGTGACGTCTCAGGTCTTTCTAAAAAGTCCTTTGCCCAATAGCTGGTGCACTTAGTCCACATAGGACACTCCCCACCCCCAACTTTCCAATGCCAAGCCTTCTCAGAATCTCTGTATAGGACTACTGAAGCCCCGGAGGGCATCAGCAGCAGTGTGTTGAAAGGTGGTACACTGAGAAAGAAGCGAGGGAGTCATCATAGGACAACATGAGATTTTGTGTCTATTTTCAAAAGGTCCCTGGAATGCCATTCCTCTTCTAACCCACCCAGTGTCAGGGGTCATGGTCCCTCCCCTTTCACCCAGTGGTAGTTCAGAACCAATAGCTAGGAGATGGCAGGGAGAGGTTAATGGGTAGTGAGTAGAAGCCCATACCAGGTTGAAGAATTGATCTTCTTTTTCTGGGTGGAAGTTCAAACGGGCAAAAGCCAGAAGCATGCTGCACAGGTGAGGCAGGGTAACATTCTGGGCTCTGTCCAAGATGTGCTGAACCATGCAGAGACAGCAGAAGGACAGGATGAAGTCTGAGTGAAGACTAATCCTCCAGAGGCAGCTGGAGGACCCTATCCCAGGCTAACGAACTCTCACCACTCACACAGGGCCAGACCCTTCTCCAACCAGCAGCAGCTGTCCATAGAGGATAGGGACATCTAGAAACTACCTCCCTGATGATGGCTTTAGAAATACTCTATCGGAACACTTGGTTTAGACTGGCTGCATCTTTCCCTGCAATTCCATCTGGGGCAGTCAGTAACTAGGAAGAGTTAAGGATTCTCAGCCTCGCCCTCTGCTTTCCTTGCTACTGCTGCCTCAAGATGAATGCAACCACAACAATCAACAACACAGTTAACAGCTCTCAAATATATATACTTTTTTTATCACTACACATCTAGTTCCAGATTTGCTAAAAAGTAATAAATCTGAATTTACCACCTAAAAATGAATGTTTTGGATTAGCTTTGTTTCACTAATTAAAACAATGTCTCCCAACAGAGGCCTAAGGAGCCAGTTTCTAAATTGGGTCAGACTTTGGGCCCTGAAGTCGGCCCCAGCTCACCTGGGCAAAGGCTTCAAACAGGGGCAGGTTGAGCCACTTGAGGAAGGCGAAGGACTTGGTGCAGCGGGCTACCTCACCAGATGTCAGGTTGGGCATGAGTGACAGGAGGTCAGCAGCCAGGCGCTGGGACACTTGTGTCTGGTGGAAGCTGAGTTTGCCTGAGTTTGCAGATCACAAGGCTTAGCTGGGGAAACCAGCAGCTACCCACTCTGCCACTTTGTTCACACTTGAGGTCTAGGGGTTTGTTGTCTGTGACCAAATTTATCCCTGAGCCTAGTCAAAGGGAACAGGGCCCATGAGTCACAATGTTTCTGTGGCAGCCTTCTGGGCCAGTGCCTATCATGGGTAAAATAAGCACTGAATTTGACAAAGCTGCAGGTGGTTCCTTGCCAGGGCTCCTACCCTCCTCACCGTAGGCATAAGCCAGGTCCAGAAGCATGCCTTTCGTCAGCGGGAGGGGCTTCTGTACCAAGTGGTAGGAGATGGCCCGCAGCAAGGGCACCGACCGCCGGCTCTGAGCTGCCAGCGTCATTAGCACCTTCCGCAACTCGTCAGGGCCAAACTGCTCCACCAGCTCCAGGCACTGTCAACCACAGTCGCGCAGGGGTCAGCTTGATGGCCTGAGGTGGCAGGGATGAGCTGGGGGCAGGGGTCCCATCCAGTGCAGTCCCTGTGAGACAGCAACTGGGCCTGAGCTACTCAACACAGGCCCATCTAGGCAGGGCCTGCCTCCTCCCCTGCCTCAGGGACTCCTGGACCCAGAGTATCATGTCCGCAGCCAAACTTATCCCCATGTCCCAGAGCAGGGGACACAGGGCCCATGAACAGCGTGACTTGCTGTAGCAGCCATCTGGGCCAGCCCCCACCATGAGAAGATGGGAACTGAATTTGACTTGACTGCAAGGAGAGAGTGGGTGGGGGACACAGCACCTCTGGGAGAGTTCTTCCAGAAGCTGGGCTATTGTGCAAGGGCTGGCCCAGGACACCTGTGTTAACTTCTGGAACTATCTCTCATGCCTTTCAATATCATGTAGGTGGGAGAAATAGGAGAAAGACAGATGCAATCAAAGGAAGTGGCTTATATTAGGAGTAGTGGGTGGGTGGTGCTGAATTAATGTCATAGAGTAACTACCTGCTCTCTGGAACCCTCTGGTCCTTCCTTGTGAGACATCTGAGACAGAAGTTTCTAGGGCTCCTGTCCCAGTGCACAAGTCCAAAGTCCCCAGGGAGGCAGGCCAGGGGCAGCATGCTCTCATTCCCATACCTTGTCTTCCAGGCGGTTCATCAATGACTCTGAAAGGTGCCCTGCCTTCATCATGATGGCCACAACTGTGCGGCCATCTTCAATCTCTGTCCAGCGCCTCTCTAGGTGCACCAGCAACTCAGCCAGCAGCTCTTTGGAATGCTGCTCTTGCATGGAGGCAGCGCATGACTCAGCCAGGAAGACCAGGTGCTTGTATTTGAGCCTCCGCAGGCGCCAGCGCACCTCTTGCTCCACTGACTGCAGTTCCTTAGAGGTCCCGGGGAGTGCCAAAATGTATAAGCTCCGCAGCAGCTTCACAAGAGTCCCATGCCAGACTGTGGCTATCTGGACAGAGAAAGGAAAAGGGCAATCACATATGTCACCCCAGAGATTCTGCGTCTGGGGTGGTAGCTGCCATTCCAGGAATATTTACTAAAACTCTTCAGAGAACAGCACCTGTCCTGCTCTAACAGGGCCTGGCACCTATCCCTGATGGGCTTGCTTCCTGAAACTAATAAATCAAGAGTTTCTGTTCAAGATAGGTAGTGTAGTTTGCATGCAAGAACTCTTTGAGTGGTAAGAGAAATTCTCTAAGTTTCCCTAACATAGAGCTGACCTGATGTGGCTGATTCAATAGAAACCATGTTCCACCTCCCCTGTTGTGTACTGTGCAGACTTGTAGATCCAAACTGTAAGCAGAGCATGTCAAGAATAAGGTCAGAGCTGGGCATGGTGGCACATGCCTCTAATCCCAGTGGCTCGGGAGGCTGACAGGAGGATCATGAGTTCAAAGCCAGCCTCAGCAACAGTGAGGAGCTAAGCAACTCAGTGAGACCCAGTCTCTAAATAAAATACAAAATGGGCTTGGGACATGACTCAGTGATCAAGTGCCTGAGTTCAATCCCTAGTATGGGGAAGTGGGGTGGGGGGGGAGAGACTAAGGTTAGAAAGTATGGGTCTGATTTGATAGCAAAGAAGGCAGCACTTTAGACTTTCTAATGTCAGTCTTGTCCACAACTCATTACTTTTACTTACAATGCCAAACTTCAACCCTTAAAACTTCACTTCAACATAGTAATCACTTGTTTCTAATTAATGTAATAAGTGGAAGAAATGACATCCTGAAAAACAACAGGGATAGGGCTCAAGTGTATCATTACCCCATATCCTCTAGTAGAGTGACTTAAGTCTGGGAGCCTCTTGATTACCTCAGAGGCAGGTATTCCCTGATACATGAAGGTTCACAGGAAAAGTCTTAAGACAGGTGAGTTAAACAAACCAACAAACCAAACCCCTCCAATCCCAGTAACCACTATGCCTTGACAACTCTCAAATGTCGAGGTATCCTAGGAAAGATAAGCTGACCCGATCACCAGCAGAAAACGGGCTCCCTCTGCCTCTGTTGCTGGTGCCCATCTCATTTCTGAAGAGGCCAACTCTGCCCCATGCAAGAAGTGACTCAAGGTCTCACAGAGTTAAGGAGTCAAAAGGTCAATGAGGTCCAGACCTCATCCTCATGGAAGATGGTAAAACAAGCATGGCTACCATTTCCTGTGCTCAGTGTCTTCACATCAACTCCTTAGCTCATTTCTTTACCTGTGAAAGGGTTACATAAACCACCTATGAAATGAAATAAGCCAGGAACAGAATAGCTGCAATCTGAAAGGTTGGGGAAGAAGAACAAAGTACTTCATTATAGTCTCACATAAGGTCCAGGTATCTGCATCTTTCTGGTATTCTGTGGAAAATTTTCTGAAAGCAAGCATTGTTACTATTTACAGCACAAACACTCTATTTCCATGTTGTTACTGCCTTACAATTTTTCCAATGTTTAGTTTGTTAAAGATTTGTTTCAATCAAGTGTGTGAAAAACATTCAATAAGTAACAATTAAAACTACAGAACAAGAAAGGACCTATGGAATTAATCTTATGACTGTGTGCTTGTACCTGAACTCAGTACACACAGTGCAAGCACACTGTAGATAACTAATTAAAACAAAAGTGCTAATTAGTTATACTGTCCTAATTCATGGGAAAACCAGCTATACTGCATTATAATGATTTAAAAACCTTCAGCTTCATATATTCAATATTCAGCACAACCCTTTCCTCATCATGTATGACAACTGGGCACACGGTTTCAGTGCCTGAGTACCTCCTTTCCAGCAGATTATGTATGGCCAGTTTGGAGAAGATAGGAATTATATTTCTTTTTTTTGCTATGGAGCCCCGGGAAGCACTATGTGAAGGGCCCTTTCCTTATATAGAGCAGAAACTGGTTTTCTGAAATAAGGTGCTACTCCTGAGAGTCACATAAATGGGCCTTGTCTCTTCTCTGTGCTCATCCTTTCAAAGTATGAATGTGGCTAGGTTACACTGAGGCCCAGCTTAAACTTTAGGGCCATCCACTGGTCATACTGCATCTCCTCCAGCCTCAACAGTAGTGTCCAGTCAGCACCCAGACACTGGGAATTGAATTGGGAATGTAAATCAATGCAATATGTGAAGGGAGAAAGCACTAAAGGAAATGAGAAGAATCAGGCTTGTTTACTATACTTGTTTCTGTGTGTTTGGTTGCCTGTCTATAAAATGATGATAGAAATATATACCTACCAAGGTTATTATAAGGATAAATGCAGAAAGCACATAAAAGTACTTGAAATTTAGAAAAAGAACCACCACAAGATGCTTGGGGGGGGGGGGGCCTGTCTATCACTGGTGCCTCTGGCTACTGTCCCTTCCTCTAAGCCCTCAAACAACATGTTTGCACCCACCTGACTACTGACTAGATGAAGAAGTTGCTGAAAACGAATATCCTGTATGAGCAAGGCCTTGTCTTCTGGCTTCTCGGATAGCAGATGAGAAAGGCGGATAAGTATGAGGGCCGCATGATTGTGGTGCAGGCTCTGATCACCACCAACCAGCTCTAAGAGCTCCTGTGGACTGGTGGCCTTCTCGATGAGCCGGTCTATCTCTTGGCGCTCTGGGTAAGGAGTAAACACTTGATCCTTTTCTACCAACTCTGTCAAGGAACCTGGAGAGTGGGAACTGTGTGAGATGGCTGAGAAGGTCAAAGTCTTATGGGCTGTCCTGGCAAGTCTCAGTCGACTAACTGGAGCCATAGCAGGGGATAAGCGAGTGGCTTCTCTCAGGAGGTATGTGCATTGTTTCACTAGGCGGGCTGCCATTATGGCCTGGGAGTACAGGAGATAAGACTCCTAGCAAATGATTCCAAAGCCCTGAGGAAAAAAAAAAGAGAAGAAGGTCCTAGAGTAGCAGATCCTGACCCATAAATTCAGGAGAAAAACATGACAAATGACATGAAATCACACTTACCCTCTCCCTAAAACCAGCCTTAATCTTTCTCCTTTTTGACTATCCATGTGTGAGATAGTTTTCTCTCTCTCTGTAGCACTGGGGATTGAACCCAGGGGCACTTTATCATGAGCTAAATTCTCAAACTTTTTTTGGATTTTGAGGTAGGGACTTGCTAACTTGCCCAAGATGCTCTTAAACTTGTGATCCTCTTCCTGAGCCTCCTAAGTAGCTGGGAGTACAGGCACTTGCCACAATGCCCAGCTCTGAGACAGTACTTTCTGAAGTAACACCTCAGAGGGCTTTTGTTTTAGTACATAATGTCATCAAATATCAAAACTCAGAAGCCTGTAAAGCACTGGTTGTGCTTCAAAATTACCTGCGTGGTTAACAATTCAGACTACCAGGTCCTGCCCAATACTTCCTGATTGGGAATCTCTACAGGTAAGGCTGAGAGAGCATTAATCCCCCCATCTCCCACCACAAGGTTACCAGGATTAAGAATTACTGGTTTGGAGAATGATCCTGGAAAACTCACTTTCCTAAAGCTTTTGTGGATATATTTTAACAATCCAGATAAGGGAGTGAGTTCCCCCAAACCAAGGGAGACTGGAGTTCCCTTCCCTCAATTTCTAAGAACAAAACTTCTGAATCACAAAAATCATTCCTAACATGGCCCCAAATTATCTTCCTAGCTTTATCTCATCTCCCCATTACCCAAGGCCTTATTCTAATCAGGCTTTGCACTTTCATTCTACCCTGCAGGCTTGCTATTCCTCATCATAGGGCCCATCAAAAAACACTTCATTTTTCCAAGCCCCACAAAATGTCAACTTCTTTCAAGAACCTGTTTCATACCCTTATGATGTTACTTTTAACAATTCTGCCAGTCTTGCTCCCTAGGGTGACTGAATAACCTGGCTAAGATATGTAATGGGAGCCTTGCTTCTGCCCAAACAGAAAGCACCTTTTATTTTCTTCTACTTCCTGGACTTCAGTATATGACTGTAAAATTTTATTTTCACACGAGCAATTATTGCAGCTGTAAAAAGCTTAACTTAACTCTACATAAGGGAAAAAAATATCAGGTACAGAAAAGAGCGTCTGCTCAAGCCCCACTTTTACCACTTTTAATCCAGGCACTGTGAGGGAGGCGCTGGAAAATCTTTCCAATTTTTAAGATAATTCTAAAAGCTGTTTGGAGAAGGGAAATAAGACCAGAAGCCGCACTTAGGCTTAGGCAAATATCAACTCGGAAGTCTGCTGCTCAAATATAGCCATACGAAAATCGACTCGTTGGGGACACCAAGGGTCAACACAGGAAGGAAGCACCTTCCAGGCCCGGCCTCGTGGACGCCACAGGCAGAAGGGGCGCATGCGCACTCGCCAGCTTGTACCGAGCAGGCAGCCGTCGAGCCCACCGCGTTCAGGCCCCTGCCAGCCTCCTTCGCCAGCACCCGCACCCCCACAGTCCAGCGTCCCCGCTGGCTTCCTCCTCGGGGTCTCTAGGATCCCAACACCCTCGCTGAGCCCTTACCCGAATCGACCGCGTGTAGCTCCCCTACCGGCCCCCTCTCCGAGGTCGCCGCCCCCACCCACTCCAGGCCCACCACACCTCTGCATTCAAGCCTTCAGTATCCACGCTCAGTAGCCCTTTCCCCCACCCCCGATGGCGCCGGACCTACGCCGCGAACACTCTTGCTGACCTCCATCCGCCGCCCGTACTGTCCCCAGGCCCATGAGGCAGACGCGCTCATTACGTCATTAGGAGCGCCGCCGGAAACGTAGTTCACCGGAAATCGCCCCGGTGGAAGCCATCCCTCTAGGAGCCACGCCTACCGCCTTTTTCGGGTTTGCTCGTGGGGTCTGAGGATACACGCAACGTAGCGCCATATGTAGTGATGGGAGACGCAGAGAAAAGGGGAGGAGAAGGGCTGGGGATATAGCTCAGTTGGTAGAGTGTTTGCCTCCATGCACAAGGCCCTGGGTTCAATCTCCAGCACCACAAAAAAAAAAAAAAAAAAAAAAAAAAAAAGGGCGGGGGTTGGGAGCAGAACTGGTTTAAGATATGCAGGCTCAAACCAAAGACCAGACGCACGTACCGTGTTTTCTTTTTACGGAAAACGTACCACGTACCGTGTTTCTTCCGTGTGAGAAGGTGGACGCGAGGGCTTGAGCTGATGAAGCACCCTTAGGTCTTGAGGTTCCTTGAAGCCTCCGGGCCACCGCCTACGCCTGGCTTCAGTTTTCTGCAACCGGAGGGAACTGTCAGGTGCCAAGCTCCCGTGGGCTCACCAGCTGCCTGCTTGGTACCAGCTCGGTCCCCTCAGTTCTAACATCCTTCTTTAAAAGAGGACACAGAGCTCAGTGCCTTGGTGGGGCTATGACCATCTCCCATGGATCCATGTAGAGTGACTGAACCCACCTCTCAAGTTCCATCTCAGGAATGGTCAGATTTGGCCCAACTTCAGAAGGAGGCCGATCATCTCCAGGAAGTTCCACTAAAGCATCGCTGCCCATTAGCACTCATCCCTTGCTTGGGAAACTTTCTTCTTGCCTTACTTTGGGGATCAAGATCCAGAAGAGAAACACTGACTCAGTTCTTAGTTTGCTTGAAGTAGAGCTTGAGCCGGGCTCAAGTCTGTAAAGCAAAATGAGTTAAAGATTATAGGTAAGGGCTTGGGGTGTAGCTTAGTGGTAGAGCACATACCTAGTATGCATGAGACCTTGGGTTCCATCCCCAGCATGGGGGAGGGTGTGAAAATTAAAGGCAAATTTTTCCAGTTGAAAATGGGGGAGAGGGCTGAGGTTATGGCTCAGCGGTAGAGCGTTTGCCTAGCACGTGGGAGGCTCTGGGTTCGATCCTCTGCACCATATAAAAATAAATAAATAATATAAAATAAAGGTATTGTGTTCAACTACAACTAAAAAATAAAAATTTTAAAAAATGGGGTGGGGAGTTCCCCCATTCTTTCTTCAGAGCATTTATCTTGTGATGGTATGTACTTTCTTTGATATGTATACATCAAGAAATTCAGTGCCCCTATCACTTAGTTTCTGTGGGAGGATGGGAACTTTAACTCTGTGGAAAGTGTGTGTGTGTGTGTGTGTGTCTCACCCCAAGATGCAAAATTGCTTCCTGTTTTAGATACCTGAAAAATTTGTTTCTCTATGAATAAAGCCAATTAACAAACCCAGCTGGCCACCTCAATTGCCAAGTGAGTTTAGGGAGTACTGTTTTAGAAGCTCCATGTCAAGAACCAGGGACAGGACTGGGTTTGTGGCTCAGTGGTAGAGCGCTCACCTGGCATGTGTGAAGCACTGGGTTCAATCCTCAGCACCACATAAATATAAATTTAAAAAAAGGTATTGTGTTCATCTACAACGTGTGTGTGTGTGTGTATTTATTTAAAAATGCACCAGGGACAAAGACTGGAGGATATTTGTAATCATATCACAGTGTATGGCTTGGTGTTTGCCACCTACAGTCCACAGAGCACCTCTCCATTTCATTCCCCTGCTCTGCTCTTTGAGAGAGCTGGAGGCCACTGCAGCCTCAACTTTCCAATCTGGTGGATTACTGAATCATGTGGGGTACATGAAAAACCTACTTCAGCTCAATAGACTTGCAGTCAAATTTGAGAGCCAGAAGTTTAGGGTGGATCCCAGATGGTGGTCTCCACCACAACATTTTTAGTGGTAGTAGGGTCTTTGCTAAAGAGGTGATTCTCACCTGTTTAGCTTTAGATGGGGTATGGTCTCTAGAAAGACCAGCCACAGGATAAGAAGGTTGGAAATTCCAGCACTACCTCTGACCTCCAGGGAGAGAATGGCTGGAGATTGACTTCAATGACCAATGGCCAATTATCGAATCAGTCATGCCTATGTAATGAAACCTCCATAAAAGATCTGGATGTTGAAGCTCAGGCTACCTTGTGGGTTGATGAACACACTGATGTGCAGGGAGGGTGGCTCACCCAGATCCTATGGGGAAAGACTCTCCTGCATCCTCCCACCCCTTGACCTCACACTGTGTGTCCCTTTATTTGGCTCCTCTTGATCTGTATCTTTTATGATAGAAGAACAATAATAAAGTTAGTGACTTCTGCCATCATTCTAGTGAACCACTGAAGCTGAAGGGATCACAGAAACCTTCAAATTTTCAGTCTTATTAGTTGGAAGTGAAGAAAGCCCTGGGACTGTGGCTGGCATGTGGAGTGGGTGCAGGCTTATGGGACTCAGCCCCTAAATTGTGAGACCTGATGTGAACCCAGGCTGCCAGTATCAGGATTGGCATGGGTTTTAGGATGCCTAACTGGTGTTGGAGCGGGGCGGATACACTTTGTTAGAGACTTTACAGAAGGCTGACCTAGCGTGGTGTCAACACATGCCCCATCTCCCCTCTGATTCCTTTTATGCTTTTGCTTTCTCTCCATGCTGCCCAGACTGGCCAAGTCCCCAGTACCCTCTGGGCCCCAAGACTTCCACAGTCTCAGCTCCTGGTGGTCATACCTCAGAAGGGGTCAGTAACAGGGTAACTGGCTGGATAACACCAGGGCTGGGTAGGATGACTTCTTTCCCAGCCCAGAGATCCACCATAGTTTTTCTGGAGTTAGCCCAAACTCAGTGAACCTGACTGAACTCCCAGCTCTCCCCCACACACTTATCCCCATGGGGGGAGTTGCCTGCTCCCATACGGCCACCCCAGCCACCCCAGAGATCCCAGGGATAAGTTCTGTGTTTGCTTTGTCCATTCTTCGGGTGCCTAGAACAGACGGATAGATAGACAGAGAGACTTAAAGCCAAATGGATTTTTTATTAGCAGCAGATAGGAGACATCATATGGTCACTGGATCCAAGAGAGAAGATTCTTGCTGGGGTTCAGACTGGACATGGCCTCTCCTGGCAGTCAGGGGATTCGGGTGGGCTCCTTACTGGAGAGGGCTCTCTACAGTGGAGAATGGATAGGAGTATAGGGAGAGGAGGTTTGGTCATCTATGCTGTGGTTCATGTGCTAGCTTGTTCACCTCTACTTTTTCAGAGATGTGGTGAACAGGTGCCTTTCCTGAGAAAGCACAGCTCTCACACCACTGCCCCTGCCCTCAGTATTGCCTTTGGGCAGGTAGGTAAGGCCACCATTCTCCTCAGTGAAGGATGTGGAGGTCACAGGTAGGTATGAAGAGTTAGCTCTGAACCCATGTCTCACTGAAGCTCCTAACCTCAAGCTCTTTACTCCCCTTCCGATTAAGTGCCAAAGGCACAGGCCCCCCAAGACCAAGTCCCACCAGCTGCCTGATCTGAGTTCTGGACTGTTTCTCTAAGCTCCCTTTTCTACTGATAGCCACTCCTGACCTGAGTGGCACATCAAGTGCCCAAGGAAACCTGCAGTGTCACAGTGAGTTGGCAAAGAGAACCTCTGTGGAACCTGGGATCTACCTCCTGGCCTGTTTCTGATTTGCCCCCACCCTTTGCCCCCTGAGGATGAGGTGCTAACCAGAGAAAGCCAAGGGAGAAAGGGACCCAAGGGGCGATATTGAGGCTGCATACCTTGGACAGGGTCCAGACACCTCCTAGCACAATTGCTCATGCAGCATTTCTTGTCACCATAACACTCGCTGTCACGGGAGCACTCGTCCTCCTCCTGACACAGCTGGGAGATCTGGTTGTTCACCCAGGGGCAGCTACCAGCTTTGGGGGCAGCTTCTGGAGAGAGATGGGCCAGCCCTTTAGCACCCAAAGCGCTCTCATGCTCACAGCCTTCCTTGCTGGGCCCATCTCACTGCACCCCTGAACTGAAAAACCCTATTTTATGAATAGGGAAATTTAATGTCTGTGGAACCCTGAGGTCAAATGTGTCCCAGGGGCCTCCATCTTGTTTGTCTCAGGGCAGGATCCCCCATAGCACCCTTGGTGGCTTGGAGACCTTAGAAACCAAACTAGTGGGAGATCACAAGGCTGCTTGTGGGGTGGAGGCACTCACAGATGGGTTGCAGGTACAGGGCTGGTTTGTGGGCTCTAAAAGAGGTTTGTGGTGCCCCACTCAAGGCAGAATCTTGCCATTGCTGGTTCCTCCCTCCCCACCAGGGCTAGGCAGGACATTACCGATGATTGGGGTTCTGCAGGAGCGGCCACAGGCACTAGGACAACATTTGGTGTTGCCGAGACAGTCCTCATCGGTGAGGCAGGCTGGGGTACAGGACATCTCCTCGGAGGAGCTGGGCTCAGGGCACATGACCTGAACTACACAGGAGACAGGCAGGTGAGTGGGGGCCTAGACCCTCTTCCCACCCTTGAAGTTCCTCGGGGGAAGGCAAGATGGAGACAAAGATGGAAACTACCAGGGATCCCAGCCCCCAACTCTCAAGATTCCATTTCTTAGAGGGGAAAACAAACAAACAAACAAAAAACACCTCCCCCAATCTACCAAAACTGTGATACAGCTTCTCCTGAAAAGTAGAAGTCAGCTGTGAAAATCAGGAAACAAAGCTGCAAGACCTACTGTGGGAGGTGGAAAGCTAATGGCCTCACCTGATGTGACAGGGCCTGAGAACCACTTTCCGTTCCCATCACCCCATCTCCCAGCTGGGCACTTCTCATCTAGGGACCATGGCCTCAGCCCTGGGGTATGAAGCCTTCACCATGGGGGGATAGAACCCTGTTTTTCTGCCTTTTTGTTCCTCTCCTTCTTGTCCCTTTATCAAA